TAGTCTAATGTTAGCTATACTTAAAAAAAATATAGATTAGCACATAATTTTCTTATTTCTTCCTTAGACTTTTCAAGAGTTTAGCCTTTCCCCCCGTAAACTTTATAGAGTGTTTCTTTAATTAGATACAGAATGGCTGGATCCTCTTTTACAGCTGTAGCTGCCCCACTAAATAGGAAGCTGGCAGGTTTATTTCATGTGGTTATCAGAATGGCTCAGCTTCTTATTCTTTACTCAAAAAAAGGAATGTCACTGTCAAATGGAACTTATTGCCTAAAGCTTTCCGTTGGGTGTATATAAACTGTGTAGGACAAAGTGCTGGAAAAAGAGACCTTGAGAGATGAATTCAACTTAATGAATTAAATCAAATGACCATCAGTATGTGTATAAGTCTTATTCCCTCAGATAGATAACAATTATTCCTAAGTCCTGCTACTCTGTTTGCATCCTTTTTACTACCCTGGAGCAGCCCTAGGACCTGGTGTCTTGGGCAGCAATATCGGCTTGTTCCCTATGCTTCGCTCAGCTTCCATTTTTATACAACCAGGACCACCTACCCAGGGGTGGTACCACCTGCAGTGGGCTGGACTCTGCCACATCGATCAATAATCAAGAAGACACCTCCACACACTTGTCTATAGACCATCCTAATGGAAGCATTTTCTCAATCGACGTTCCATCTTTCCAGACGATTCAAGCTTATAACAGGACAAAAACTAACCAGAACATGTGATAACAATGCTGACTGATAAAGAAAACAGTCTGTGAAGTGGTGGTTGAGGGGTGTGTGGCTGTGTTTCTGCTGAGCTCCTGGCCTGGTCCCAGAGAGCAGCACCCAGCCCTAATCCTTCCTCTGTTTAACTACACCTTTTGTTTCTCTTACCTTTTGTTTCTCTTATCACCCTATGTGAATCTTGTTTGAGAGTCAAGGATCAGAGAGTCCCCCAAGCATCAAAGGCCTATGCAAAACTTGGTCCAGGAAACCCAGAAAACCTAGGTACCTGATAATTCAAGTAATTCGCCCCTGGCATTTGGTCCCTGGGAGCTCCTTTTGGGTTGCTTTGAAGGTATGGAAATTAACTATCTAAACTGTAAAAAAGAGTAAATAAATATGCCCTAAGTGAAGGAAAAAGGGCTTCAGTCCTTCGAGGCTGGACCCCCCTGCAGCCATGAAAGGCTTGATTCATTCTTAAGATGCCTCTGTGTCTTTATTCCTCGGACCCGTGTGAACCCACACACGCATGTAGCGACTCACACAGCTACAGGGCTGACAAAGCAGGCTCCCCTGAATAACATCCCTGGAAGCCTTGCCAATGCACTTGACTAGCCTCAACTCTTACCACCCCATCTCTGATGACACCAGACATTTTCCTCATCCCCACTGTATTTAAGATGATACACCAAGCACAGGGAAGTCCAGCACTCTCTCCTGCTACCATGCTTTATGGACAGCACTGTTTCTAGTTTACCTTTAACCTTCACAGCCAGTAAGCCAGGGACCTGTAAGCATCAGTACGCACAGGTGTTTATCTTTTATTTTGCTCATTGATCTAACACATGTTGGGTACAGTTTGCTCAGCCCTAGCAAATGCTGGAGAGCAAGCTTCCCTGAGCTCCGAAGCCCTCCTGAGCCTAACTGAGGCCTAGAGCCTCAACGGGCACTGCAGTTAGTCCCTTACATTCTAGACGCAGTGCTGGGAAAGGACCTTTGTGGAACGAGCATCTGTGATGGATGCTGCACTCGTATGCAGTCTCCACAGCAGACCTGGTCTGCCACAGTCTCTCCAAAGCTTCCCTCACCTGCATCCAGCTGTGATCCTTTAAGATGGCTGCCTCACCTAAGCTGACCTCCTCTTCCAGGGCAGCCTGCATCCGATGACAACAAGAAAGGCCATCTTAGCTCTGCGCTCCTGTGGAGACACGGCAGTTGGGGCGCACTAAAGCTAGTGCTTCCTGTCTGGTGGGGCTCCCTCCTTCCGCCTCTGTAGATGTAACCAACCATCTTATTAAATAAGAAACACAGAACCAATGTAAAAGAGAAAGCCAAGAGGTCAGAGCTCAGAGCTAAAATCTCACCCTTCCGCCTGCGGTGCTCCTAGCTTCCTGAAAGAGACCTACTTCCTGAGTGTATGTCTTTAAATAGTCTTTCCGTTCTGCCTTCTCATTGGTTGTAAACCCAAACACATGACTGCCTCGTCACTGTCTGAATGTACAGCCCCCCAGGTCTTAAAGGCATATGTCTCCAATGCTGGATGTATCCCTGAACACACAGAGATCCACCTAGCTCTGTCTACCAAGTGCTGGGATTAAAGGTGTGTGCCACCACTGCCACGCTCTTTCTATGGCTCTAATAGCTCTGACCCTGGGCAACTTTATTTATTGATATACAATGAAAATCACATTTCAGTACAAATAGAATACCACCATATTTCCCCCTTTCTATTTTAATAAAAAGAAAAAAAGTAAAAGGTTATAACTAACAAAAGAAAAACTATATACAAAAGTACAATAACTATATACAATATATACAAGTAATAAATACCTAAACAATGTCTAGTCCATTTCTATTTGACAAATCAGAGAAAATAATTCCATTATCTATCCTATTTTGGTAAGTACAAAATGTATCTAATTCACTTTCTATCCTAATTAATCTTCAACTATAACTAAATAGCCTTCAACTATAACTAACTAATCTTCAAATCCCTTAGAGACCCAAGAAGTAAATAATATTAGCTAACAAAAATAAAAACAGGAAATGCATGCAAGCAACTTCCAAAAAATTTGTGAGTTGACAGAAACAGCCAGCTGCCTGGACAGTCACCTGAGGTTTCTCCGCAGTGTTGGGGCATCATCTTCAGCCTATAGGCTTAGCATATCTGACAGACTCATTTGTGAAGTAGGATGTACACAAGGTCAACAGTTCAACCTCACATTGGGTGAGAGCAGTCCATGTACCAGAAACACCTGAATTCCACTAGTGTCCTGTCATAATTCAGGATGTTAAATTCTGGAAATTGTTGACGGTTTTTTAATTCAGCTGTCCATTCTTCTTGGCTGTGTAAATATGGCTTCATCTCAGCATCCCCTTCTTCTCCACATCCCTCTATTAAATGCCAGTCTACTATCGAGAGGTGTGAGCTTTCAGCTGCTGTTCCATTGCACAACAGAAGCCATCGGCCCTCTGCCTGTTAAGCTGCCTTTGAAGAAAGGGGCACTGTACCTTTTTCAGATTGCAAAAGCCACTTCAGGAATGGGGCCATATTGTCCTGGCCTCAGAAGATGCCTTTTGATAAAGCCATAACCACACTTGTTTTGGCAACAGTCAGTAGTCCTTTGTTTTATGTTGTCTGTCCATTTTGTCCTGTTGATTCGAGGATACTTTGTTGTCCAGTGGCTAACTTTTGACACAATGAAAGTTAACTCCAATTGCAGTTTCTTCAATGCCCATATTTTCTCTGAAGTAGATTGGTACTGCCAGGAGCCGACATGTGTCAAAAAAGAAAAATTTATAAGTTATTTAAACATTTTAAATGCCATATTCTGTACATCTCTGAAGGGTTTGAAGATGACCTGTCTAAAACATCTCTGCTCAATTTTTAAAACATATCTAATATGACTACAAGTT